GGCGTCCAGCAGTAAACAACCACATTAAAGGAGCTATAACAGTTATAGGATAGCGCTATCTTTCATCTCTTCTCACAGATCTGTTTCTGTCCTTCTACAGAATAATAAGATGACCCCCCACCGGACAGAAAATTGGCAATTTTTTTTATTTATCATGGGAAGAAATCTTAAAACATAATCTTTTTTTCCCCTCCTCCCGTCAGTCCTCCAACATTGTTTACTGTCTTTGTAATAGTCTGCAGCAGGGCTGTATTTTATTTTATTTTTTTTAAATAGCAAGCTCTACAAGCAAAATTACAAGAAATAATTAAAAAAAAGCCTATAGTAAAAATGTCAACCACCAAAATGGCTCCATCTGGAATTCAGGGGTTGGCATCGTCTGGGCAGCAAATATTTACTGTGTGTAGCTTTTATCTTTGTGCATTAGGATACAGCTCGACTGCTGTATAGAAATCAATGCAATAAAACAGTAAAACATTGCATTTAAATGACAAAAAGAGCGCATTTCAAATGCATATGTTCTTACCCGTCATGTAATGTTTCACTGCAATTTAAATCCAATTCAATACTGCACACGTATCCGCATTAAAATACAATCAAGAACGCTTATATTACACGTTCTACACACATGTGAGTGTAATGTAGGCCCAAATAGTTATCTCTGGGTAATCCTTCCAGCTAGTTTCCGGCTCCGTTAATCAACCTGTCGGCAAACTAACCATTAAGCCTCAACATAAAGCCGCTACATGCTGGAACATTACCGCTCACGCTTCACTCTGCTCCCTTCATACGATGTCCCAAGAGTAAAGAAGCCTGACATTTCCAGCCTTGATGAGCTGTCATTTTAAGGCACAAGGCATTATCTATGTGTGTGTGTGGAGCGTGCAAAAGGAAACGCTGCTACACTTTTGCTCTTTTCGTGGGTTGAAGGTTGTGCACGGGTCACACACGGAAACACGTTATTAGGAGCTGGTATTAACTACGGAGATTTACCTACACATTTAAATCAGTGCCATCTCGTAAAACAGGCTTTAATTTCAAACACCGTGTCGAACGGTGTGAGATATAAATCACTCATATCGTCAATCAATTTCGGTGTGACGTGACAGATGTTTTACAGCATCTTGAGTTTGGAAGAAAAAAAACAACACGAGGTAAATGCCACAAATCACAGACGAGAGAAATCTGACGCCTGACAATGATAGTAAAGTTGAATTTAATCCTGTCAAGAGAGTTGGTCCAGGGCATGATTCATTAACTAAAGAAATAAAAATGTAATGCAGTTAAAAAAATAAATATATGAATCTAAAGCAGAATAAGTCCTAACTATGTGACAATAAATTCATTAAGTTACATAGCCAGAGGGTGTTTTAAGCATTAATGCAATGAAATTCATGTGAAAAACAAAAAATGTGCTCCACTGACAGCTTCACCTACACATGCATTCGTAATGTAAAGTTTACAATATTCTATTTAATCTGAACAAGCACGACTACACCTAAGCGACACTGTTTTTTGATCTGAGGTGCTCCTGCTGTCGCTCTGCAAAGCCTGAACTCTCCCACATATCGATGTGTTTGTTGGTCTGGTGTTTTCTGCTTGACAGTCCCTGTTGTAATTCTCTTCAGTTTCTTCAGAGCACTCTGCTCTTTGATCCAGCCTTCTGTTAACACACAAGTGATGCACTTAGTGTGGAAGGTTTTCCAGGTATATTGCATCTCAGAATGTCAGACTACACAAAAGACGGCTGTGCTCTTCAAAAGAAGTGTGCAATGGAGGATACATTTATGAAGATTGCAGCAAACATTTGGTGTGCTCGTATGTAAGTTATTAAACAAAGTGTCCGTGCTGTTTGTTTACACAGAAATAATCACGCGGAGCATCTAGATTTGGCCGGATTGCATTCGAACGATGCAAGTCGCTCCATTTTGAGCCACTTGTCACCATTTAGGAATGAAATGACAAAATGAGAATCATGGCTTTTTTTTCTCAGGGTATATAAAATCGCTCCAACCCTCTGTCAGCGATTCACTGTTCTGCAGGGAAATAAAAAGCTTTTGAAGTAATATCCTAATCACTGGGGGGAAATGAATCAATATTAAGTTGCAAACCTTGCTATGCATATAAAGCAAAGCACCTCAGCGCTTGTAGTGTGCTACTAGTGCTAAAAATAAATGAAAGAAAGCCAGGTCTCTACGTTTTCTACATCTTCTTTTACACAGCTCTGTGCCTGTCCATCCATAAATACACCCAGCAGTATTAGTATGCTGCGCCTGGCCTGCTTTTGCTCGGGGAGTGGGTCATGAAGTATGATAAAAAAAATATTTATATTTCTAAACCAAACTAGAAGGTGTTGAGGATCAGCTTTTAAAAAAAAAAAATCAAGAGGTGATGCTGGATACTATAAAGGCCCAGCAGAGAACTGGGAGAGCAACCGGTTTCTGCTTCGGGTCGTAGCAACTGCACAGCATCGTAAATCATTAATTGTGATAACTTTATATGATGGCGTCTAGTTGTGTTCAATTCTCCAATCAATTCTTATCTCCCGAACTGGAGGGAGCCTGCACTTGCCTGCGTGCCACAACGTTCAATAGACGTGAATGCAAACACCCTCAAATTAAAGCGGAAAATTGGCACTTAGCTTCGCAGTTACTGTTTTATTGTAAATCCAGTGTGCCGGAGCTAAGAGCCAAAACGGGGAGCGTCATTGTTCTTCCTGATAGCACAGTAATTCTGGCTAACACCTGGGCCTGTTCTAAATCAGTATATAATATATATTGTGCTGCAGTCAGCCATAGAAAACGACGTCTCGCTTGAGCTCACATGTGAAACTAATTGATAGTTTGATTGACTTCAAAGAATTAAATAAATGGACACTGAAGCACAAACATTTCTTTTTTCATTTTACTATAATCATAAGACGTGAGCCAATATGGGAGACAGTTTATATTGTTCTTAATTATTGGAGCTGAGTCGACCTATAAGACTATTTTGTGATCATCTGGAAGCACAGGTGTTGAAGCCAGTCCATAGGAGAGAAGTCAGTGATTCTAATCCAACACAAGTCAAATGTAGTAAATATCTCCACTAATTAAAGAAGGATCGTAAGTCTGCTAACTTGCTCACAAGCTGAATATCCACAATCAGTCTCCAGACCCAGACTCCACCTTTAAGGACATACGCAAGACTACAGCTTGTTTAAATCAGTCAACTTCAAGTGCCACGGCCATCTGTCAGTCACACAGCCAAAAAGCAATAACCCCTTTACCCACAAAGGTGCATTACTTTTTGGCATCCATTTCACCCACTGAACATCAATCCTGTCCAATGGTATAATGGTCTTGTCACCAGTGACAATGGAGAGGCATTACCCTCACCTTGGTTATAGAGATGTAAGTCATTTTGCGGCTACATAGTGATAATGCTGTCAGAAAGTAAAAGAGAAAAGACTGAAAGATGCTCAGAAAGCCACAAAAAAAGACCAAGAAACAGAATTAAAGGCAAGAAGAAAGGAAATGGAAGCAGGAGTCGTTACTCCTATTTTGTGCCTGCTTTTAATCCGACCAACGTCACCACTCCCGACGTGTGCTGATCCTGTTTGCCAATTCAGCAACTACTTCAGATTTCCATTAATTAAGCACTCCAGATGCAATAAGCATGATGTGATTAATCATATAATAGAGCATCCAATGTGTCATTACATTCGCCAGAATTATTCATTCTTCAAATCAGGACAGCAAGTGACCCATATAAATTTATGACACTGTGTTTCCTGGCTGTGTTTGTGGTATTAAATCTTGCCTTTTGACAAAGATATCCATTATATCTGCAGCTCCTATACTGACAGGAACACAGAGAGCGCTGGATATTGCCATGATCCCACTTCAATTTCACAAAGGGCACAACCCCGGCCACGGCAGACCGTGCACAGTGATAATGGATAGGTAAGATTCATTTTCAGACCAAATCCAAACAGACAGGAAGCCTGTACAGATAAAGTGAGACTAGAGATGGCAGACTGTCGGCAGAGTGCTGAGATAGCACAGTGAATTCACACCAATCACACGTGGAGGAGTCCTGCTAAACTCAGACGCGTCCACTTTGAGTTTGTTGATTTCGGCAGGTGAGGAGACTGTCATCTAAAACTCGTGTGGAACAGCTGAGACTACCTGAAAATTCATTCCCCTGTCCGGCACAATGTGACCACAAGCCAGTGGGTCAGGACTGGAAGTGTCATCCAGGACTAACAACAGTAAATAACCTTGAAAAACCCCAGGCGTGAGGAGACAGATGCTGACAGATGCTGACATATCTTTAGCGATAATCATATTCGGCTTCCTGTTTTCCAAACTAATGAACGCCGCGGTGTGTAAAATTATGTCAAAGTGTGCACAAGTGTTCATTATCCTCGGCTAAAGTTGCAGATGAAGTCTGCGCAGGAAGACGTGTTTTCAAATCGCCCCGTTAATGAGCTATTTTTTTGTACAGATTTGCTTTTGTGCGCAATTTGTTTCTATGAGTGTGTGAAAGTAAACTTTGACAAACCGAAAGCAAAACTTTTCCATTTTGGTTCAGACAAGAGCAAACAAACTGTAGGTTTGACTGCACCATTAGTTTTACCTTCACTCCTGTAGTCCTCCTGAGAGCCGAGCAGACTCAGGGCTGACAGGGGGTGACTGGAGAAAGCAGGCCAGTCAGGAGTCACCAGCCCACCGCTGCTGTGTTGTCGAGGTATGCTGCGAGGGCTGAGCACTGACGAAGACCTGTCTGGTTTCATTCGTAATACTGCTGCATATGATATAGGCCTTGCTGCGACTGCTCTTGCAAAGTCTGGGGAGGGAGAGAGAAAAAAAAAAAGAGATGAAACACATGATTTGAAGTCAGATTTGTGAGAACATGTTGAAAAAAAAAAGATATATGCAAATGCTTTAAAAAAAAAATCACAATGACATATTATTAGGAATACTACTATTTTACTATCCGGTGTCTCATCCAGCTCTCTATTAAAGTCAGTTTTCCATTCTGTGAGAAATAAATAGAATAATTTGCAGCAAACTAGTGTTTACAAGCCAGGAACAGGAAGCAAAAGCACAAAAAGTGGAGACAGCAGACAATTCAGAAAGAGCTCTGAGGAAAGTAGATGTTAAAGCATCCTAGAGGGAATAGAGTGGCTTTCCTCTACAACATCAACCTAATCAGGCTGGAATGATGAACTCTTTCCATATAGAAGAAAACCTTAAAGCCTCAAATATATTCCTCTTCAAGCTTCAAGTGCTAATATCCACCTTTAAAGTTGGTTTTTGAAACATCCACCAGAGAAAACGTCCTCAAATTTTAGTCAGCAACACCTGACGAAAAACCAACAACCTCAGGCTCTATGGATAAGAGGCACTTGGAAGATATTAAAAAAAAAAAAAAAACCCAGTACATCTTCTTTTTCTTATCACCAGGACAGAGTGAGATCTGGGGAAAAAAAAGCTGATATTTTCACGTCTCCCTAATCCAAACCGTAAATTGGAGTAAATAACAACCTCGTGACAACCAGTCGCTGACACCGTTTTTGAACCTGCTCTGGGAAATTCTCAGCTGCAGCCCTCCTAAATTTGATGCAACAGAAATGAAGCACAACAAACGCTCCATCAATTTTAGTCATAGTAGTAGCGGGCGAATGTGAATGTGCCACGCTTGGTAACCTCTGAAAAATTGCACCGGTTACGTTCCATAACAGACACGGTTTGGTCTTGGCGCGGAGGGGTCCCTCCGGGGTGGAAGAGGTTAATTTTACAATCATTTTTCAAATCACCATCGCGACGTGTGTTGAGAAGGAGTATAAAAAATAAAAAAAAATTACCTGTAAAGATCCTAGCGTCTTTTGTGCAAACACTTCTATTCTCCATTCTGAGAACAATGCTGGGAGTCTTTCCCATTTGGCCCTCATGCAGGCTGTCTCCTTCTGGAGCATCTGCCGCGTAGAAAGCCATTTGATGTCCTGTCTAAAAAGGCACTTATAATGCCTTGGGTGAAAACATGCAGTTCTTAAAAGGAAACAAAGATACGCTGCACATTCTGGATATCACTGTCATCAAAGTCTCAAATTGAGCAAAAATGGTAGGTGGAACGAGCGCGGGAGACGAGCAGCTTCCTTTTAACTAAAAGAGTCCACGGAGGTTCAGGAAAAATATCATCTCTGAAGGAGTAAACTGTCACCAGTCTTTGCCGTCACCTCGTTCTTCTCCTATTTACTTTTGAGGAATTCAATCCACTTTGTGTTCGGCTACGTTGTCCTTTTATGATACTGTGAATATGACAACTCGAGATTACACAAACAACTCTTTTTTTTTATCCCCCCCATTGCGGCTGATCATCAATATATAATTTCCAAAGCAATCGTACAGTGCCAGCTAAAAGAAATGGCTGAAATTACTGACGATACGGCATCGTTTCTGTGCTGATACAATGCTTAAACTAAAAATGCAAAAAGGACTAGAGGCTTGAAGCGCAGTAGAAGTCTAATCAGAGCTCTGCGAAGGGGGTGGGAGTGTTTTGCACTACATGATATGTGCTATGAAAGAACTGAACAAAATTGAGAAATAATTATGTGTCCTTGGGGACTTGTCAGCTGCAAAAATACTGCTATCTACAAATGGAGAGCGGGCAATTACTGTATTACATATTCTGGGGAGAAGCAGGATATGGAACTCCATTTGAAATTAAAACTATTGTGAGTTTGAAAATTGAAAAGCAAAGCAATTAGTAGTTGGTTGGTAGTCAGTTAAATCATTTATCCTGCCAAGAATCATCTCAATTGAACCACATTCCAGCTGCCGATGCCCACGACTGTGCCGAGCCCTTCGCCGCTGATGAAAACTTGCCTTTGACAGGTAAAACGTTTTTTATACCAAATTAATTTCATTTAGTAATTCTCTTAACCTAACACGACTACTTCCTCCTACAATATGCCACCAAGGTGATAAAATCCAGCTATATTAACAGAATTTGTGATGTTTAACAGACATTCCCATGGAACTACAATTAAACAATCGTGTTGCCTCACAACTGGTATCATCTAATTAATCTGATACCTTGGGGTAGAGGTAACCAGTCTGACAATAAGAGTCTGCAAACCTTACTTGGAGCAAAGAAAACCTGAAATTTTTTTTTTTAAAAGACAGCTTTTCGGGGCTGCTGTGCCAATTTGGATTCACACATTGATGTATGGTTTCACAAAGTTCTGCTTATCATCATGTTTGTCACACTGAAAAAAAAAAATCCAATTCAAGCAGACCTCACAACATAATCTCTAGCTTTTTATCTGGCTGTGACCATCTGTCAGCTACGGACTGGACTTCAGCCCATTCATTCCATATGTGTATGTATAAAGGCTGACTCTAAATCAAAACCGCAATATGAAACAATGCAATTAGCGAAACCCAAAGGCTGCAGTGGAGGATGTACTTGTACATCACGCAGCCTGTTTTGTCAATATCTCTTCAAATTCTTCCTCCTTAAGTGATCTCGTGGAGTAATGCTCCATCATACTTTTTAAATCAACTACACAGTGAACATTGAACTGAAGCTTCAATTTAAAAATTGCACCCCGAGTCAAACTGCAGGATCTGTTCGACAAGTCACAATTAGATATTTCCCCCCAAACACTTCAGGCCTCGTATGTATGCAACATGCGGTCTCTGACTGACAGCTGTGCTGTGACAGTTGCAGTGTGGTTGAGAAAAGCTGAGAGTGATGACAAGGAAACAGCTTGTTATAAAATAGGTTGATCCTGTTAAAAGATGACAGCTGCACTGACTTCATTTAGTCAAGGTTCAAAATACTGTCAGGACAAATGGCTCATTTCTCTCACTCAACACGAGATCTTCATGCAAACTTGCCATTTCACGTCAAAGCCAGCTGGCGTACTGCTGCTGTAGTAATAAATGATAATGTAAATAGATTAATCAGACTTAATTTGTGATTAATAATAATGACTACGCAATTGTGAATGTGATAATACAGTATGTATCATTCTGTAACTGAATCACAGCAGCAAGAATCGAAACGAAACCATTAGGACAGTGTGAGAGTCCCAGTCCTAAGAATACAGGGCAAGGGGAAGTAATTAGGACAAAGGAGAAGTGGCTCAAACAAAAACTTGTAATAAAACAGTGGATGTAAGCCCTTCTCCCCGTAGTGTTACAGCAACCTTTTGCTGCTGATTCAGACTGGGCCAAAGCCATAAATAACACCACAGGTGTGTTTATTACAGTGCAAATGCGACACACTGAGCTGCACAGAGCACAGGACTTTAGCAGAGTAGTCAAAGTGCTCGAGCAACACTATATTTTTTGCAGCATAATACGGCTCTGTGGTTGGGTTTTCCACAAACCTGACATACTCAGATATGATGCCACGGTTTATTACTATTAATGTCATTGGAGATGGTTGAGGGTTGTTGTATCGGATTATACTTGATGTAGCTGGATGTCCCTACAGTAATAAACTGGCAAACCAGTAACAGCTCCTGACAGCCAGGTTGACTCTGAAGAAGTAAAGTACCTGGTCACCGGGGAGATTAGCAAAGATTTTCTGACATTTCTCATTCAGCTGTTCACTCATAACTACTTTATAAGCTGTAGAAATATGTTGCATTTTAATTTTTGAAGGAATCATTTTGAATGTTTTAAGTGGAAACAGCCTATTAATCCAATTTGTGTGACAAAACTTAATAAATATTAAAACAGCATGTTTGGGATCTCATATTTTATTTGGTGTTTGCTTACACATCCATCCTCAGATCTGTCTGAGATCATTACAAAGTTATGGAGACGTTCTGTCAAAGAGAGCCCATACATTTTGTATATACTGTTTTATCAAGTGACAGTTATAAAAGGCATCATTCCCCGTTGCCAGAAAAACACCACTCCTGACTGGGGCTAAATCCTGACAAATACAGCATACTGAAAAAAAAAAAAAGTCTCTTTTGTTTGTTTGACTACTGAAGCCGACAGGCACTTGCTCTTGTCAGCTGTCACCTTCATCTGATAAAAGCAATGACCCTTGCAGATCCCACTGATCCCTATCTTTCAGAGGGTGCAAAAATCAGAAACACTCATTGTTGTTGAAAGGGCTGCACCTGCTGTATTTCAGGGAGCTCCGGAGCAATGCCATCGGTGATCGTTTCAGGTCTTAACACCACCTTCATGATAACATCAACAAAAGAGGCAACAGCCATTTTATACTCGAACAAAGAACAAAAAAGCCAAACGGCGCCGCTGCCTTGTCCTCATTATCATACGTATGTTCGGCTATTACACTGCTAGATTCCCTGTATGAGTCTATGTTATTATGCAGTAAAACCACAATGAGGACACTTACATGGCTCTGAGACAAAGGACTTAACATGCAAACAGACCAACAACAGAGGTGAAGGTGAAGCTAAAGGAGGATGACATGTCTCGAGCCAACAGAGGTGAGACCTGGGGAAACAAAGCCCCGGGGCGACGCTGAAAAAGCTCATCTGCTCGGATTAGGTCATCGGGTTTGCACCGCACAGGAGACAACGTGCGACTCTTGCGAGGCTCCGTCTGCAGCCTCTGGACTGTGGTGTGAAAAATTAATTAGAATAACATACACTAAGTAGGTGAGACGCTCGTGGGGGCTCAAGTAGACGGACATGATTAGCCATAGCCTGTAAGATTAATGAAGACCTTCACAGTGAGATTATATTGACTGAAGCTGATTATGCTTGAGACCATTTATTCAGCGGAATATCATTACAGATAGAACAATCCATACATCATATGCAACCTCACCTCACCTTCTATC